CAGGTTTGGGGTTGGCTCCTCCTGCGGACCCTCCCTCGTCTGGTCGGCGCGGTGTTCGCGCTGTGCGGGGTTCTGGGTCTCGTAAGGGTCGCCGGCCCTTTCGCGGTTTGCCCCTTTGACGGGGCGATGGGGGGGCGGCTTGCGCTGTTCGCCCGCGCCTGGTCCCACGATTCGTGGGCCTTTCGGGTCGTGTCTCGCGGCCTGCGGTGGCGTTGGGTGGCCCCTCCCCCCTTTGGGGGGTCGGGGCTGGCAGGGCAGGCTTCTTCCCCTGCGCTCTGTCGAGTCGTCTTGGAGTGGGTACGCTTGGGCGTCGTCGAAACGACGTCGTCCCTCAGATGGGTTTCCCGTCTGTTTCCGGTTCCGAAACGGGACTGCGCGGACCTGCGGTTCATTCTGGACTTGTCCCGTCTGAACCCCTGGGTTCATTGCCCCTCCTTTCGGATGACTACGCTGTCTCAGGTTCGGCTCCTCTTGGAGCCGGGAGCTTGGATGGTGTCCCTGGACCTCCGGGACGCTTATTGGCATGTCCCGATTCATCCGCGGTTCAGGGACTGGCTCGGTTTTGTAGTGGGGCGTCTGAGTTACCGCTTTCGTTGTCTCCCGTTCGGGTTGAACCTGGCACCTCGCGTGTTCACACGCCTTACACGGGTTGTGGTGGCTCGTTTGCGTCTCCTAGGTGTTCGGGTGTTGGCCTACCTCGACGACTGGCTGGTTTGGGCTCCCAGCCAGTCAGCTTGCTTGCTAGCCAGGGATTTGGTTCTTTCCCAGCTCGCCGGGTTCGGGTTCTTGGTGAACTGGAGGAAGTCCCATCTGGTTCCCTCTCAGGTTCGGACTTGGCTGGGTCTCGTGTGGGACTCTCGAACCACCTCCTTGTCTCTCCCTCCGGAGTCTCTCCTGCGGCTGCGGTCCCGCCTTCGTCTGTTTCTGGAGGGCCCTCGGGTCACCCGGCGGTTGCTCGAGGGGCTGTGCGGGAGCCTGAACTTCGCGATGGTGGTCTACCCGCCGGGTCGGGTTTGGCTTCGACGGCTGTTCTGGTTCCTTCGGGGTTCCCCCTTCCGCCTCTCTCGCGATCGCAGAGTTCGACCCCCGGGGGACTTGCGTCGGTTGCTGCGTCACCGGCTTCCTCTTCGGGTTTTTCGGGGTTCAGTGCCTTGGCGCCTACCCGAGCCCTCGCTCGATGTGTACACGGATGCGTCGTCTCTCGGCTGGGGTTTTGTGACCAGTGCTCACCAGGCCGGCCAGGGGCGTTGGGATCCGTCCTTCCGTCGAGCTCACAGTACGGTGCGGGAGTTCGCGGCAGTGTGGTTTGCTCTGGGGAGGATTCGGGTGGCCCGCGGATCGACGATTCGGCTCCATTCGGACTGCTCTCCGGTGGTTCATTGCCTGAACCGCGGGGGTTCGATGCGGTCCTTGTCTCTTTGGGGTTGGTCGCTTCGGGTGACTCGTCTGCTGAGTTCTCGGGGTTTGGCTCTCCTGGCGGTTCACGTACGGGGCGTGTCCAACGTCTTGGCCGACGCCCTGTCTCGCTTCGTTCCCCTCTCCACGGAGTGGACGGTCGACGACGAGTCCTTCCGTTGGCTTTGCCAGACGTTCGGGCGCCCCGAGGTGGACCTCTTCGCGTCGGCGTGGTCGCGGCGTCTTCCAGTTTATCCCAACCGGCGCCCTTCCCCGATTGCGAGGCCGTCGGGGTCGATGCTTTTTCGGCTCGACTGGTCGAGGTGGGGGTTCCTGTACCTCTTTCCCCCGGTTCGGCTGTTGCTCCAGGTCCTGACTCGCTTAGAGACTTACCGGGGGACTTACCAGGGGAGAGTTGTCCTTCTGGCCCCTTGGTGGCCGGCCCAGCCTTGGTTTCAGGCGCTGGTTGCTCGGTGTCCGAACCCGAGGGTTTTCCCGCGGCTCCGCCTCTTTCAGCAGATCGGGCCGGTACGTCACGTAGCTGGTTCGATCTTCTCCTCGAGTCTTCGCGTATGGTTTTTTTGACTCGAGTCTATCATCATCTCTATGGTGATCAGGTGGCCTCCTTGTTGGTGTCCCACCTGAGGGCTTCTTCTCGGCGGCAGTATGAAGTTTCCTGGCGGTCCTTCCGTTTCTTTTTGCGTCTTCGTCGTGTTAGCTCCTTGTCTGTTCGGGTGGTCTTGTCCTTCCTCTCGTGGTTGTTTCAGGACCGTCATCTTATGCCTAACACTGTCGCTTCGTATCGTGCGGCGCTGGCGGAGCCGCTTCAGCTTGCTTTCGGTATCGATGTTACGTCTGCGCCGTTTCGCAAGCTGTCTCGTGCATTGTTTCACCTCCGGCCTGCTCATGCGTCGCCTGAGCCGTCCTGGTCTTTGGACAGAGTGCTCGCTTTCCTTTCATCTCCTCGTTTCGTTGTGGCCCCTTTGGTCCAGGATTGTTTTTCCAAGGCACTTTTCTTGTTGGCTTTGGCCTCTGGGGGTCGGGTAGGGGAGCTTCATGCTCTCCTCCGGCGCAGGGGTTTCTGCTCTTTTGGTCGTGGTGATAGTTTTGTTCGTTTGCAGCCGTCTCCTTCTTTTCTGGCGAAGAATGAGACTGCTGCGTTCCGGAGGGGTCCATGGGTGGTTGATGCTTGGTTGGTCAGGCCGGGGGTGCATCATGTTTTGTGTCCGGTTGCGGCGCTTCGCCGTTATTTGCGCGCCACAGCTTCTGTGTCCGGGGACGCGCTGTGGGTTGATCCGGTTTCCCTTCTTCCCTGTTCGCGGGTTCGGGTCTCTCAGGTCGTCCGCAGGGTTATTAAGTCCAGCCAGCCTGCGGTCTATCCCCGTGCCCATGACGTTCGTAAGTTCGCGGCTCTTGCTGCCGTCTTTGGGAATATGTCTTGGTCTGATATTCGGGCGCGGGGATTTTGGCGGTCGAACAGGGTCCTGGCTGCTCGTTACCTTGTGAATGTCCCTGGGCCTCGTCGGGCCTGTGTTGCTTTGGGTCGGCGGTTGCAGCCAGTTGTCTCGGCTTCGAGTTGAGGGGTGAGCGACGACCGCCTCCCGGGTAAGTCCCTCTTTTTCTGTCTGTGGGTAGTTAGCTCCGGGGAGCCGACGGGGCTCCCCCCAGAAAACCAGCGTTGAATGTAATGAAACGCCATTTTCTGGGTGAGTCCCGGAGGCTCCCCGGCATCCCTCCCTCCCTCCGGTCGGCGGTTTTTTCGCGTTTTTGACATCCAGCCTCAAGAACTGAGGTGTGGGTAGCCGGCGCGGGGGGTCTGGGGCTCCCCCTTCCCCCTCCCGGGGAGGGGGGAGCTGCGCAGACAGCGGCGCGGCAGTGTGTGACGTCACACTAATTTGCTTGTTTTCGGTTGGGGAGTTCTATCCACTAGTTCGGCTTTAGGTAGCAATTTTAACCAGAATAGGGGTTTGTTTTGGGGCGCTTACCTTTCTGGGTGCCTGTTCCGGTCGATGGCAGACATAGAATGCTTCCAACTACACGGGGGCTTCTATAGGCCATTGCTCCCCTTGCCTCTCTGAGGGGGCCCGGTTCTGGCCGTGGTCCCCGGTAGGCCTAAGAACTCCATACACATGACTGATGCCAAAGTCTGACATTAGCATATCAGCCTGGGATAGCTCCGGGAGCCTCCGGGACTCACCCAGAAAATGGCGTTTCATTACATTCAACGCTGGTTTTTTGCTGTAATATTATTCAATAGTGTGTAGTGTGATATATTTATATAATAAAATGTGTGAATCATCGCTGTACTCAAAATTATGGTGTGCATATTATCGATTCAATTATTGTGTTCATAAAACAATAAACAAATACTTTGTCAGTTATTACACTATATACACAGGTTATATATAGGTATCTGCATATTTTGTTCACCGTAACAAACCACTAAGTTGATATTGCAAGTCAAAGAGCAGCGAGGAGTGACCACCACATCTGCAAGCCAGCCGCTCGCTGCCACTCCCTCCCTCAATGACTCCTCACTCGCCAACATCCTCCTCCCACCATGCTGTTTTTGCTTTTATTCACTATATACAGACGTTATATATAAGTATCTACATGTTCTGTTCACCATAACTGTTCAACTAAGCTGGTATAGTGCACAAAGAGCATAGTGGCCACCCCAACCCAGTATGACAAATCATGTAGATGTTGCCACCTCCCTCTCCAAAATGGCTTCTTCCCACACTCTTTGCTGTTATTACACTATATATGCAAGTTATATATAAGTATCTACATTTGTGTTCACCATAACGAACCACTAAGTTGGTATGCTGAGTGGCAGTGGCACCCAGTGGCAGCCTGCCACTTCCTCCCTCCCTCCCCTCCCTCCCTCACCTCACCTGACTCACCACCATTCTCCTCCCACCATACTGTTTTTGCTTTTATTCACTATATACAGACGTTATATATAAGTATCTGCATGTTTCGTTCACCATAGCGAACAACTAAGCTGGTATAGTGAGTCCAGACAGTAAAAGGTGGTCACACAGAGTCCGCAGACAACGCTACTTCCCTCCCCACCAAGATTACTCCTCCCACTACAGCGCTAATTATCACAACAATCCTGCTATTATCAGAATCCTGGTCATTTTTATCACAGTCAGGGGTCTTCGGTAATACTATCATCGCTAAATAATAGCATGTACATATATATTATGGCATTTTTAGGCGATGCTGTGGTCACACACTGAACAGCAGTGCTGTGAGCTCATGCTGCATGCGTCAGCCTTGGTGGCTCACTCGGTACTGAGGCTCTCACACCCGGGAATGGACCCACGATTTGTTTTTAAAATGGTGTCTGCTTACAAGAGCCCTGGTGAAGGTGAGGTGAACCCTGTGTATCCGCGGGCCGTTTAAATCTTGCGTAGTACTCCAATACGTCACATGACGTGATGCGCAAGTTTGGGTAAGTTACTCAACACGTCATGTGACATGTTGTGCAGTTTAAGGGTTAAACTGTTCATATCTTATCTCCGAGAGACTTTGAACTTTAAAATATTTATATAATAAATTCTTTACAAGTGTAAACTGAATTCATTTTGTTTCAGGTTTTCTTTAGAAGATGAAGGCCAGCCAGTAAGAGAGATAGTGAGTGTGATGATGACCACTTCTGGTTTTATCTCCTCTGCTCGGGAAGGAAAGTTACCAGAGGCACGCTGCCCAAATATTCCCATGGCAATGCCCCGTAGCTCGTCTCCTTCTGTAGCTGGCGCAGCTGGGAAGAAAAAGCTGACAGTGGAGAAATTGATTAGGCAAAAAAATAACCAGGGAGGAACGGGACGACCAATGCCAAACAAGCCTCCACGGCCACTCAAGGTCAAAGTTAAAGACAAATCTAGCAGCAAAGGATTGAAGATACCAAAGGTGCCACTAGTCAGACCACCATCACACCCTCCAACAGGAAATCCTAGTACTCCAGGAGCACTGCCTGTCCCACCCAAGTTGAAAATGCCTACTCCCAAGCTTGCTGTTCCTAAGTTTCCTAGCCCAAAGCCACCTTCCACTCCTAAGATTCCTACATCCAAAACATCTACTCCCAAATTATCTCCTCCAAAGATTCCTACACCTAAGCTCCCAACCCCCAAGACGTCAACCCCCAAGACTTCAACCCCTAAGATTTCAACCCCCAAGACATCAACCCCCAAGACATCAACCCTCAAAACATCAACCCCCAAGACATCAACCCCTAAGACTTCAACCTCTAAGATTAAGGTTCCAAAACCACCTAAAACTCCAAAATCAGAAGCCAAGAAGTCCTCTAACCTAAAGGCCAAAGACCCAGGAAAGGATGGTGAATCAAAGAAGGTAAAGAAAGAGAAGGAACCAGGGAAAAAACCCAAGGAAAGTAAAAAAGAGAAAGATCCCACAAAGAAACCCAAGGAGCCCAAAAAGGACAAGGATGGCAAAAAAGAGAAAGAGTCTAAAAAAGACAAGGAAATTAAAAAGGAAAAAGAAAACAAAAAAGAGAGAGAGCGAGAACGAGAATTGATCTTGGCTTTGGCATCATCCTCGGCTGTCACAGTGACATCAATACCAGCGCCTACTAAAGCACAAGATATGTCAATGCAAGACAAGGCTGAAGGTAAATCAAAATTGAGTATTTTCAAGAAAATCAACAAACCTAAAGATACTAAAGACCAGGATCGGCCAGGGGAGCGTGATGCCCAGCAGTCTCGTGATAGTTCTCCAGATCTTATGATAGATGAAACTCCTACTAGATTAGTGCAGCGTCGACCCCCAGAGGAACTAACTGTAATGGACACCCCAGGTCATCGACTGGAGACATCAATGGATGATATGGTTAGATCACCTGCCGATTTCTCTTCATACCAGGATGACATGTCACCTCCCGGAACCCCTTCAACTCCTAGAACTCCTGAAATACCACATATTCCCATTCGTAAATCTTCAGAAAAGCGCAAGGGGAAAGAAAGGACAAAGGAAAAGAGACCAAAGAAGGACCGTTCAAAATCACCAAAATGTGGGTTCAGCCCTTCTCATCGAGAAGTTTGTGAATTTGATACTCCTGAGCGTCCAAAAACTCCAGAAGTTGGTTTGCCCATAGGGAATCTTGTAGGAGGTTCTACTATCCCCTTCTCACTTCCACCTTTCCCTTCTGCCCCAGGGTTTATTCCTCCATTTTCTAGGTTTCCCTTTATTCCACCATTTGGTGGTCCCCCACCTCGCCCAGGCTTGTCCCATCCACCCATGCCTGACCTTCGCTTACCCCCAAACCCTTTTCTTCCAAGACCCCCCATGAAACGTCAGCTGGATGATGACCATTTAATGTCCTTAGATGAAGCTGAAAATCTAGAAAGGCCTTTAACCCCAAGACATGCCCGTGACTCCAGCCCCCTTCCGGTGACCAGTCATCCATCCCCTTTGCGGTCACCATCTCCCACTCAACTGCCAGTAACTCCTCCTCGCCCTCGGACACCTGCTCATCACTCTCCTCCACCTATGCCTAAAATGAAAATGGAGAAATTAGAAAAAATTGACAAAGAAAAGGTAATAATTTTTATATATATATATATATATATATATATATATATATATATATATATATATATATATATATATATATATATATATATATATATATATATATATATATATTATATATATTTATATATTATATATATATATATATTATATATATATATATTTATATATATATATATTTATATATATATATATATATATGTCGTACCTAGTAGCCAGAACTCACTTCTCAGCCTACTATTCAAGGCCCGATTTGCCTAATAAGCCAAGTTTTCCTGAATTAATATATTTACTATAATTTTTTTCTTATGAAATGATAAAGCAGCCCTTTTCTCTGTGTATGAGGTCAATTTTTTTTTATTGGAGTTAAAATTAACGTAGATATATGACCGAACCTAACCAACCCTACCTAACCTAACCTAACCTATATATATAGGTAAGGTTAGGTTAGGTAGCCAAAAAAAGCTAGGTTAGGTTAGGTTAGGTAGGTTAGGTAGACGAAAAAACATTAATTCATGAAAACTTGGCTTATTAGGCAAATCGGGCCTTGAATAGTAGGCTGAGAAGTGCGTTCTGGCTATTAGGTACGACATATATATATATATATATATATATATATATATATATATATATATATATATATATATATATATTATATATATATATATATATATAATATATATATATATATATATATATATATATATATATATATAATTATATATATTAGTATATTTTGGTAGCAGTCTTTCCTGTAGACATATATTATTAAATATGACCGAAAAAGTAAGATTAATAATTCTAACACGAATTTTCTCAATCTTTCGTACATTACGCTTCACTGTTGGAGGTAAATCAAATATCAATTCTCCAAAATTCATTTTTATTTCTAGTCTGACGCGACACGGGCGCGTTTCGTAAAACTTATTACATTTTCAAAGACTTTTTAGTTCACAAATACACAACTGATTAGAACTTACGTATCTCCGATTTTATATCTACATTTGAGTGAGGTGGGAGGGGTGATATGGCATTAACACAAGACAGAACAAGAGGGGATATTAATAGGGTATTAAAAGTATCAACACAAGACAGAACACAAACAATGGGTATTGAATAGAAGTGTTTGTAGAAAGCCTATTGGTCCATATTTCTTGATGCTTCTATATTGGAGCGGAGTCTTGAGGTGGGTAGAATATAGTTGTGCAATAATTGGCTGTTGATTGCTGGTGTTGACTTCTTGATGTGTAGTGCCTCGCAAACGTCAAGCCGCCTGCTATCGCTGTATATATCGCTGTATCTATCGATGATAAACAACACAGAAATCATCGATAGATACAGCGATAGCAGGCGGCTTGACGTTTGCGAGGCACTACACATCAAGAAGTCAACACCAGCAATCAACAGCCAATTATTGCACAACTATATTCTACCCACCTCAAGACTCCGCTCCAATATAGAAGCATCAAGAAATATGGACCAATAGGCTTTCTACAAACACTTCTATTCAATACCCATTGTTTGTGTTCTGTCTTGTGTTGATACTTTTAATACCCTATTAATATCCCCTCTTGTTCTGTCTTGTGTTAATGCCATATCACCCCTCCCACCTCACTCAAATGTAGATATAAAATCGGAGATACGTAAGTTCTAATCAGTTGTGTATTTGTGAACTAAAAAGTCTTTGAAAATGTAATAAGTTTTATGAAACGCGCCCGTGTCGCGTCAGACTAGAAATAAAAATGAATTTTGGAGAATTGATATTTGATTTACCTCCAACAGTGAAGCGTAATGTACGAAAGATTGAGAAAATTCGTGTTAGAATTATTAATCTTACTTTTTCGGTCATATTTAATAATTATATATATATATATATATATATATGTCGTACCTAGTAGCCAGAACGCACTTCTCAGCCTACTATGCAAGGCCCGATTTGCCTAATAAGCCAAGTTTTCATGAATTAAAGTTTTTTTTGACTACCTAACCTACCTAACCTAACCTAACCTTTAAAGATTGGTTAGGTTAGGTTAGGTAGGGTTGGTTAGGTTCGGTCATATATCTTCGTTAATTTTAACTACAATAAAAAAAATGACCTCATACATAATGGAATAGGTAGCTTTATCATTTCATAAGAAAAAAATTAGATAAAATATTTTAATTCAGGAAAACTTGGCTTATTAGGCAAATCGGGCCTTGCATAGTAGGCAGAGAAGTGCGTTCTGGCTACTAGGTACGACATATATATATATATATATATATATTTGTTTTATTTACATATATACATATATAGTGTATTTGTTTTATTTAAAGTTTGTTACAAAAAAGGAGTTACACATATGGTAGAAAGACGAGTATCATAAGTTGTCGAGTTCCTCCAGCTCCTCAGATGGCGGGCAGGAACCCTGAATGCAGTGGGCATTTCCCCTCTGTATCGCCACGCTGAGGCACTGGAAAAGGAAGCTGGCAGCTCTAGGGGTCTCTAGTTGTTTCAATGAGCCTGGAACCCAGTTCCTTAAAAAAACTGGTGTCACTCTTACCCCAGGTACTGAGTGTCTCAGAAGTAATGGGGACAAAATTGTAGTGGTGATCAGTTCTCTGTACTTAAGGGATTTGGCTGATTCCCTGTGAGTGGCAGCGCCACCCGGTTGTGCAACACTGAAGTCAATGGAGGTGTTAGCCAGGGTTGAGAGGTTGAGAGGCATGTGTAGTCCCATACCAACTGCTTGCCATTCTTCCAGGGATGATGTCGTTAACTTCACTGTGCCTCGAGTGCCATCCTCCCTGTGCTTTGGCAGAGTAGGCCATGGTGCCCGTACCTGTTGGCCACCATCTCGCTGCAAATACACCTATATTTGGTGTGGATTGGGGTAGCAAGGCGAAGGGTCACAGAAATTCGGAGGGTGTTTGGTGTGAGTCGTGTGCCAGTTGCCGACATTGGGGTTGCTAACAGAAAATCCCCTGAATGTGGGGCTGCTACTGCTGTGAGGCGAGCAATGTCGTGTTGTGTTGTTGCAGCATCCAGGCACTCTGCAGCAAATTGGTTTACAATGGGGGCTATCCCAGCTGGATTGCTTGTGGGGTTTTGAGGGTGGTGGTTGAGGTGATGGGCTTGCACAAGAGGCCCATTCGGTGGCACGGCATATAAAATTGGGATCGTGTACACCTGCCAGCTGATGTAAGTAGGCAGGTAGAATTTCCTTCTCAAGATCATTGGATGCCGAGGAGGAGGACAGGAAGGCTCGCACAGCGATTTGTGTTCCTGTTCGAACTCTGAGGCCCCCCCCCCCCAAGTCTTATGGGATGAGGGGCTTGTTTCCACTGTAGGTCATCAAGAGAGGTTTGAGGGCTTTTTCTCACATTGATTTCAGTAGCATGTCATACGCTCCAAGTTTTCGGCTACTGTAGGATAGTGAACACCTTGGAAAGTAGTTTAACCTGGGAAGGGACAGACATCTGGTGATGAGGTAAAGTGCATCATGGATATCAATATCCTCAATCTTTCCATCCATCCTCTTAAGGTCGGCGATTTTCTTATCAAGGACCTCAGCGATGGCTTTTAACCCCAGACGGGGGCTCCTAGGATTGTGCCGTCTTCAGGTTTAATTATATGGATATTTGGCAGAACATCCTCTATTCTCTCTATGATGCCCTGATTGGAACATATTATTTCACATTTAGAAGGGTTCAGGGTGAGGCCTAAAATTGCACCTTGCTCTTTGATTTTTCTGATGTCCTCCAGGAGGGAGTCTTGGAAACCAGCTAGGGTACCATCATCCAAGAACCAAATGTTAGGCTTGCTGGACAGGACTTCTGTGACTTGTTTGATGACTAAGTAGAAAAGGAGAGGAGCAAGGGGGTCATCCCTTGAGTAGATGCAAGGGCGTCCACCCTGTTGGACGCCTTCTCGCGAGTCAATTTCATATTCACCAAAAAGTGACTTTAGATTCATACTGTAGCATGAGTGTACAAAAGGGTAGAGGGAAGGGAAATGACAATGAACCTCACGGAGTACAGCATCCCTCCACACCAAATTGAAGGCATTTTTTAAATCCAGCTTGATCAGGGCCTTTTCGTCTGTGATGTTAGCAACAAATGCTTTAGCTGCATGAGCTGCCGCCTCGCACCGTTGTGGAATGACGAACCCAAGCTGTTTTGGCTTTAACAAATTTGCTATTGCCTCGCTAACTGTTCTTGCAGCAGTCTTTGTGATGAGACGCCGGAGGGAATTCCCCACAGCTATTGGTCTGATCCCTCTATCCTTTTTCTTTAGAGCACAGAGAGATGCAAGAATTTCTCGATTAGTCAAATACCATTTCCATTGCATCAATTACTAAACAGGTAGGAAATCATTCATCGCATTTGATATTGCGGTGAATGAGATTCCTTTGGAGTGGATTCACAACACCATATTTGGACATAACATGGTTGATCAAGTACGTTGAAATAAAAAGCTAGGAGTGGCTATAAACCGTACCTTTGTAACCTTATAGAACTTCAATTGCAAAGAGTTATGTAATTCTTTATTAAAGTTACGTTGACATATCCATTGTATATAATTATATAAAGTGCAAACCATAGGATTAGCAATCTTCTTTGATAGTACTGTGCAGTGTTCAGTTAGGTGGTAGTGAGATGTCCAGATAGTTAGGTGGTACTGTGCAATGTTCACAGAGCTTGTCTATCATATACATTTAATTAATTTTGGCTTTTCAGAAGAAAGAACACAAAAAGGAGAAAAAAGAAAAGGAAAAGGAGAAGGAAAAGGAAAAAGTTAAGAAAAAGAAAGACAAGAAAGATAAAGAAAAGGAGAAATCTGATAAAAAGAAAGAGAAGGAGAAGACAAAGTTGGAGAAAAAGGAGAAGAAAGTAAAAAAGGAGAAGGATGAGGGTACCAGCGTTCCAAGAATCACAATGAAGATAGCATCAACTTCGGGAAGCTCTCCCCCGGGTCCTTCCACCCTCCGGCCACTGGACACTGCCCCCGCACCCAAACTGTGAGTGGTGTGTTAGTTCTCTTGTTGCATTATGCACTAGTCTTATGAATAAAAACCAACATGAATAAAAACCTAATTCTTGTCTTGGTTTTTAAACCTGAGAGATGCCTCCTTAAGATTAATATTATAAATTCAATGCGTTACTGTACCATACCACATTATTATTATTAGTGTTACTTTAATTGTTGTTGCAATTGTTATTATTGTTAGATTATATACTTTAGTGTTCAAGTTTTATTTTTACAACAATAGATTAAACAAGGATCATGTTAGCAGTATTATGGTAATAATAATAATAATAATAATAATAATAATGATTCCAATAATACAGTCTAATGGTCTTGGTTGGTAAAAAGATGTGGTTAGTATATAAGAGTTTTGCTTGAAGTTGTGTTATTTTTATCTTGTACATACATTAAGACAAAGTTCTAAGGATTCCTAAATCAAATACCGTAGAAATATATTAGTTTCATGTAATTTTAGAATTAATATAATATAAACAAATATTCAGATGTGAGAAGGCTAGTTGAAGTATGTATGTTTTGAAGAAAGTGTTGTACAATTGTGGGGCATGTTTAGAGCTGAAGCTGTAGATGAGCATTAGTTCTCCCCTACTCATATCTCTAGATAAAATTTGCTTGCTTTAATGTTTGTGAAAAACAAGCATGAAGGTCTATCACTCTTTGCCTTCAATAACTAGTAATATACATATTCAATAACCTTTCAACTTCTCAATCTAAGTAATTACAGAACACACACACCTTTGCTGGGGAGATATATAACCACCCACCCTATAAACATATGTGATTGGCAAACTACAACATTTACTTGGTGCTAAATTGGGTAGCACAGATATTGTTAGTTGCTGCAGGGGTTCAAGATTCATCTTGGCTATACAGTTATTCTAGGAAACTGTTTCAAGATTGGTTTGTGTATCGCTCTTCCGGGTGTTGATCGAGGGACAGTTGGGTGTTTTCTGATACAGCTGTATCGTTTGCCCTGCGATCATCTCATTACAGCGATGATCGTGTTGTTACTGCAATGTGTTCTGTTTTCAGTAAACCTTTGAATACATGGCATATCAATGATCTAAACAGATTCTTTATGAATATGACACCACCAACTAGCAATATATCAGATGTTACCCTAACCCTGTGGGAAGGGGGGGTTGTCTTAACGGCTGAGTGGACATTGCTCGGAATTCGTAGTCCTGTGGTTTCGGGTTCGATCCCCGGCGGAGGCGGAGACAAATGGGTAGAGTTTCTATCATCCTGATGCCCCTGTTCACCTAGCAGTAAATAGGTACCTGGGAGTTAGACAGCTGCTACAGGCTGCTTCCTAGGCCTAGAGATGTGTAACACAAAGGAGGCCTGGCCGAGGACCGGGCTGCGGGGACGCTAAGCCCCAAAATCATCTCAAGATAACCTAACCCCACTGGACTTTGAAGTAGCCATAGACAGCATCCCATATACTCTGCACCAGGCTCGGACTGTATTCATTGTTCATTCTTTGTTCATCAGGAATTGCAAAAAATTACTATCGGTTCCCCTGTTTAGAGGATACTTTCACAGGTCCTAAACATCCTTTGGGGATGAAGTGTAGATACTGGTGTTATCCCTGACATTCTTAAAGAGAGAGATTGCACCACTTCACAAAGGAGGTAGTAAAGGTGATGTAAAAAAATTATAGACCAATAGCTCTAATGTTGCATTATTGGCATTATTGTTTTGAGTTTGCAATACTTTGCAATTGTTACATATCGTTTTGCCATCATAAATGTGTTGAACGAAGGTACATGCTGTAATTTAGCTGTTTGCCAGTACATAGACATGTTTGGCATCTTCTCGATGCCCATCAGTATTGTCGGTCCCAAATATCTGGCAAGCTCCTTTACACTCACTTTATCCCACTCATTGTTTGTGCTGTTAGAAGTTTTGGAAATGCTTTGTGATACAGACAAGTTGGTTTCATATACCATATCTTTCAGCCAGTCTCTCGTAATAAATAACTGTAAAAATCCCAGAAGGGTGCTTGGCACTGGCACAGTCATGCCTGGTGTTCCAGTAAAACTCTACAAAATGTGCAGTGTTGTCAGTAGACCAGGCCTCACCAGAACTGGTGCATGGGGTACGTGCGGTATGAGTTCTAATAGCAGGGCCTGCACGGGTGGCGGTATCAACATCATCATCCTCACCTGCCGTTTCAGTTTCATTCACCTCACTATCTACATCACTGTCACTTTCAGCACTTTCAAGATCATGATCAGAAAATTTTTCAACTAAAGCTTGTAATTTTGTTGGTGTGAGTTTCACTTTTCTCTACTTTTGGCAAACACTACTTAGCTTTTCCCTCACAAGACTTGTTTATTTCCTCTGCTTTCATCATGTACTGGCTCTGTTCTTGATCACTGTCCATCTTGGAGTAAATGTAGTGTGTTTATAAAGGCACTAACAAATAAAGCTGAGTAAAAATGTCCAGAACGGGCACATGTTTTTGCACGAGGGGAGGCCGCAGCGGTCAGGAACATGAACACGCAACAATAGGCCTACCGTGTGGGTGCCATGATGCCACATGGGCCATCACAGAAAATGGGAAGACGTTGGTGAACTTATTAAAACAAGTCCCATAATCAGCAAAAAAATGGATTTTTAACAAATATTTTAATTTGGGATGCAGTGTGTGTCCTCCCCAGACTGAGTAAGTATACAGTGGAACCTCGGTTGACAACTGCCCTAGAAGACATTTTTTGGAACACAACGTCAATTTCGTTGTAAAATTTGAATTGGTACACGACGGTTTACTTGGAAGACGATGTCTGTTCATATGCATATGGGTGGAATTGAGCGCGTGGTGCTGGGGGCGCGGAGCAAGGTGTTATCAGTTTGTTTACCTTGAATTCTTCGTTAAGAATTTCATTGTTTTTCTGCTTTTTGTTTTCTGAACAGTAAAGTTCTTATTATATATCACACCATGAGTCCCAGGATGGTGAGGGGGACTGGATGGATGGATGGTGGGGGAACTGGATCAATATATGGAGGGGTGAACTGTATGGATGGATGTGGGGTGGAGGGGGACTGAATGGATAGGAAGGGGGGACTGGATGGATGGAGAAACTGGATGGATGGGAAGGGGGACTGGATGGATGGATGGTGGATGGGGACTGGATGGATGGATGGATGGTGGATGGGGACTGGATGGATGGATGGTGGGAGGGACCACTCACACCATCCCCCACACCACCCACACCATCCCCCCCCCCTCACCCCTCACCATTGACACCAGGTGCTCATTCAACATGCCCGACAAAAAAAAAACCTAACCCCCCTAATACATCCCCCTTACCACTGACACACACCCATTTATTATGTATTCTTCATTTTGAATAAGGAATATGATAGAGCGATGTGTTACAAGCCACTGAAATGGTAAAATTTTGTCTCTTAATTCTGTGAAAAACCTGGAAGCAGCTATGTGGCGTGAGAGTGAGCGGTCGCCATAATAGATGGGTTGACAGGTCTCGGCTCACACCATCCAGGAACCCCCCACCCCCACCCACCTCCCAGCGACACCCTGGTACCCCAGCCACACAATGCCTCCCTCGGCTGTTGTTTTTACACCCCAATTGTTTTAAAAATTCTATGAAAAGGAAATGTGTTCCAACTGTTTAAAATACTGTATATATCACAATTTTCACCATTATTATTGCTTCAATATGACGTTTTTCTAATAAAAAGATTATTTTCAGTGTAGATAATGCAATAATTATCATTAAATTAGTTAGAGACCAGGTCAGGTGGAGAAGTGAGGGTGGGGGGGGGGCTGGAGATGAGCATGCCACGCTAGCCACGTGTTGCCTCTACAGCCTCTACTAACACCACTATTACTTCAGCTTATCTTGACAACTTCTACCACTGACAACTTACCTCTTATGAGAATACATAACTTACACCACTTGCCCCCAAAAATAAACCCTAACTACTGACACCGCTTGTCCCTTGACAACAACTCTCTCACCAATGCCCCCCTCACCATTTCAGCTCATTGTCAGCTGTGTGGCTGACAACCTGCCTCCCATGAGAATACGTAACTTACACCACTTGCCCCCCAAAATAAACCCTAACTTCTGACACCACTTGTCCCTTGACAACAACTCTCTCACCAATGCCCCTGACACCATTTTATCAGCATTTTTATCGCCATTTCTCCCTAGAAACAATGGGTAAGGATAATAAAACACTGTATAACAGTTTACACTTTAGCAAATCATAGTCGATGACAGCCAGCTCCAACGCTCGGCTTCGGTGACCGCTTGGACGAACATTCCTCGCTTAATCGAACATTTGTATGTTCCAGTAAACATTTGGTACCGAATTCAATTTGTTCTGCTCTTCCGGGAATTCGATAGAGCGGGGTTTGTTAGACTGAGGAAGCACTGAATTGTAGTACAGATTGATGATAGTGAGTGGTGTCCCAAGGAACGTAAAAGTGTAGTGCTTTGGAAAAATAGGCGAGATAATACGAATGTACAAAGTGTAGTGAAAAATTGGATGAGAAAAAGTGACCCTGGTATTTACAGTGCAGACAAAAACATTCAAGATGGCCACCAGCAAGAAAACACCCAAAACAGAGCTAGATTTTGGAGGTTTTAATGAAGAAAACATTGATATAAGCAGTCTACACAACAAACTGGCAAAATTAGATATTATAGAGAACTATCATGTAGAAATAATCAGTAAATTGAAAGAAAGTAATGAGCACTTGAGTGGCAAGGTTTTAGGTCTTGAGGGGTCAGTGAAAGACTTATGCAAGGACAAGAATCAACTGGAAACAAATTGCAAAGCCATGGAAGAGGAAAATAAATTATTTAAAATAGCTTTGGAAGAAGTTAAAGCAAATTTAAACTTAATGACTACGATAAGTTAGGTAAGGAAATTCAACAGGAAAAACAACTTTTGTCAGTACAGATGGAGGAAGTTACACAGGGAATAGAACAGTGGAAG